CCAAAAACCATTTCTCTAAGCCTTATAAAAATAGCGGTGCAAAGTCAAATTTTTTTGACAGCGATTGATAACCGAGAAGTCACGCGTACGCATTTGCTCGATCGCGCGCGGATGAGCCTCTGTTCTCCGCCCCTGAGCGCGGGCTCTACGCGCGCTGTTATTGGCCAGTGTTTTTCGTTAATAAATCAAAAACGAAGCTTCAAATTGTATTTTGGAAAAGGAAAAAGTTGTTCAGAGTCACCCCAGCAACTCCCCATTTCCGGGTGTTCGAAGAGTTACGGGACACCCTGTATACACATTCTGACCTGAGTCTTTTCAGTCCCTCCCGCGTCTAAGGCACGGGTCTCCTGGAAAGCCTTACTGACGAGTCCACTAGGAGGCCCAGGACGAAACGCCCTAACCTTTCCTTTTCCGCCTATCCTCTATCACTTTCTTACTAGCTTCACCCGAAATTTCGGTAACCAATGATTTCATCCTTTCCTTATTGCTCATCCTCGAATCTCAACCTCACGACCTCATCCTTTCCTGGCTAATTCCGTCTCACCCTCGAACCTCTGCCCTTGGTATACGAAACCCTTACAAATCCTAACCCCCACTCCTCAAGATACGAACATATGTATTATACGTCCTTCCTCAAAAATGAAAGAGATTAGTCCTTCTATCGTTACGCACGCAGCTCCGTAGAAATTTGTCCTTTGTCAACATGTCTCCGTTCTGTGATACTTAGCGATTATACTTAGCAACATAGCGATTTGTCCCTAACTTTTGTATTTGTTTAAATATTGAATTTAGATAAGGATGTAGCTGTAATTTTTCCCCTTCTCCCTTCTCTTCCTTAATGCTGGAATTATTTCAACAAGATTCGATGGCTCCGACAAGGGTGTATTTTTCAGGGTGTGACCCTGCTGAGAAGAGGGGTGGAATTAAGACGAAACAGAATCGTTTTCATCGTTTATACGTAGGGTGAAATGTGGCTGGGTTAGGGCAAAGGGGAGACCTAGCCGGTCCCTGCTTCAGCTCACCCTCCTTTTCTTCGGTTTTGCTGTACCAGTTTCACGTAACCTTCCGAGGATGATTAAATGGAAATTTTCGCGACAGCTTTCGAAATATTTTTCATCGAGAAACGAAGGATCAGCGGTCTGTTGTTCTCTTTACCACATTTCAATTGCGTCGAATTGCAAACATTTACGAAACTTCTAATTTTATTTTCCAACGTGAAATAATTACTGCGTTTCAGATTTCATTCGTCCTCGTTTAACACTGACTCAACTCGAGGCAGAGATACGTCGGTTCCTTAGTCTGCCGGGTGATTAAGGGACAGAAGAATGAGATTGAAACTACGAGGGCGTGTAGATAGACAAACGAGCAAGGACAGCGTTTGAGGATCGAGTTGTCTATACACAAGACCAGCGATGGGTATGAACCACTTCCGATTTCGAAATTAACTCGTCACTTGCAATTACGAAATGTCCCGCGTTATGTGTGTTCAACGATACTACGAGACAAAATTTCTTACAAATTAAATCATTTAAGTGTCGTACGCTGATTTCGATGAAACTTAATTAAGACACATATTTCTGCAAATATACTCCAATTTTCCAAAAATCCGATTCCTCGTTACTCGGTGTCTTACAAGAAACATCACGATGTAAGAACAAAATTTGCAACATTATAGATGTCGCTACTATACCTAAAAGCGCCCCATTTTTTAAATTCTTATACAAAACTTCCTCGACGTAACTACGAAAATCTAGGAAAGTTCGTGATTTTCTCAATTGTCTTTAAACGACAAACAAGTAGTAACAGATCGATGCTTTTTCAATACACGTTGCGAGCCACCTTACGATCGTCCTCAGAAGCGATATCAACGAATTCGCTGTTTTCCCATTTATTACAACTGCCCATAGTTGAAGTCCGAAATGTAAGTGCGCGAAAAACAGCACGGTGGGAGTGGAGTAGGGGTACAATGTTAGGCGGCGTGAAATTGCTCGAGAACTGAATTGAATGCGCTAGGCGTGCGCCAACACTCGCCCACCATATCACCACTACCACCACCACCACTGGCAGTCCGCGGCGCACGCCACCCACTCGATCAGTCGACCCCGTGCACCGCGGCTCGCCGGCCGCCGCGCGATCCCTTTTGTCTCCACACGCCATAATCAGCCTGCCTCTTCTCGCTACACCACCTTCCGTGCAACGACAACAATAACAACAAGTGATTGACCAACTCCAAAGGGACACGTACACCCCACACATACACACATACACACCACATACGCACACACGGTATACACACATCGCGAGACACACGGAATATTATCGTACCGAGAAGACAGAGGACGATCTCTTGTGATTAAGGGATAAAGGGACAAAGACAGAGAGATTTGAGATAGAGAGAGAAAAGGAAAAGGGTGAAGAAGAGAGTGACATTCAGCGCGCGTGCGTGTGCCTGTGGTGTGCGTATGCCTCGAAAGGTCACGGTGAATTAGGAGCCGGCGTGGATTCCGCGCAAAAGCCGGTCCCCCACTCGCTAACTTGTTGAGTCTCTCCGGCCAGGTGTGCTCCACGGAACTCCATCATGACGGACCTGCTGCTCCTCCTGGCTCTGCTGGCCTCTGGTGCCAATGGTGTCGCACAGAGGAACAACGTGCACAACGATCCGTTGGTCGTGGAAACCACCAGTGGATTGGTCCGAGGATTTTCCCGCACAGTGTTTAAAGAGGAGGTGCGCGTATTCTATGGTATCCCTTTCGCTAAACCTCCCATTGGCCCTCTTCGATTTAGGAAACCGTTGCCTATAGAACCGTGGCACGGTGTCCTGAACGCCACTGTGCTACCAAATAGCTGCTACCAGGAGAGATACGAGTACTTTCCAGGCTTCCCAGGCGAGGAGATGTGGAATCCGAATACTAATATATCCGAGGATTGCTTGTATCTAAACATATGGGTGCCACCGAAGATGAGGCTAAGGCACAGAGGTTCGGAAACGTCAGGTAACGGTGAAAAGAGTGGTCTGCCGCTTCTCGTTTGGATCTACGGGGGTGGATTCATGAGTGGAACAGCTACGTTGGACGTGTACGACGCAGATATCATGGCAGCTGCCAGCGACGTGATTATAGCCTCCATGCAGTACAGAGTCGGAGCTTTTGGGTTTCTCTATTTGAACAAGCATTTCACCAATAGCGAGGAGGCACCTGGGAATATGGGTCTGTGGGACCAGGCTCTCGCGCTCAGGTGGCTCAGAGACAACGCTGTCGCTTTCGGAGGTGATCCTGATTTGATTACCATCTTCGGAGAGTCTGCTGGAGGCAGTTCTGTCAGCTTGCATTTAATCTCGCCCGTCACCAGAGGCTTGGTCAGACGTGGAATCCTTCAGAGTGGCACTCTGAACGCCCCGTGGAGTTACATGACTGGCGAGAAGGCGAACGAGGTGGCTAGGGTGCTGGTAGACGACTGTGGTTGCAATTCCACGATGCTCCAGGAGAATCCAGCCAGGGTGATGGCTTGCATGAGATCCGTGGACGCGAAAACCATCTCTGTGCAGCAGTGGAACAGCTACGGGGGCATCCTCGGCTTTCCATCGGCGCCCACCATCGATGGGATCTTCCTACCTAAGCATCCGTTGGATCTCCTCAGGGAGGCTGACTTCAAGGACACGGAGATCCTGATCGGCAACAACGAGAACGAGGGTGAGTGTTTCTTTTTTTTTCTTTTTCACGCGAGGATTCGAATATAGCTCGTTCGAGACTACTACCTGCTGCACGCTACGAATTTTTTCACTTCTTAGTCTCTCCAAGGTTCGAAGGGAAATCAGAGTAGTCCAGAGTTCGAACAGACAGGAAGCGGGAATCTTTTTTCTCTTTGAGTTCGGTTAGGTCAGCTACGTCATTCTACCTATTGAAAAGCGCACATATTACGTAAAGTAATGTTCAGCTGGACGGTCGCTTTGGATGGAAACAATGGTTCCGGTGTGTATTGTCGTTGGATAATGCGGACAGGTATTCGTTATTGGCTCGTGATCCGCCTTTCTCGTTAATGAAAAGCTGCGTCGCGCAAAACGCGGACGCGGGGAAAATCATTTCGCCGCTGGCTTTCTTAAAAGCGACCCACTCTAGCTAATTAACCTTTATGACCCGAATGCCTCGGGGACTTCTTTACGTGGCAAAGGCCGTCGGAGACCCCAGGCGATTCGAATGTCCCTTTAGAATCGGTGAAAATGCCAGGTTACGTAACTTTTCAGACTGGCGAAGATTCTCAGAAAAATCTGTCCGAGTAAATTGAACACGGGGACTTAAATCCGCTGGCGGATAAAAATATTGGTTTTACGATCTGAGAAGTTAGAGGCCTGAAAAGTCAGAGTGTCGGATCATCGAAACGCGAGAATATTGCACAGTGCTGTGAAACTTTTGTCCCGATAGTGTACGCCTTTTTGGGACCTTTAAATTTTCTACGGGAATTTTTCGACGAATCGACCGACCTCCACGAGTGTGAAAAATGACGAAGATCGATAGAGAGATTAGTAGATGGGAGTTTTAGAATTTTTCGAAGATAAGGCAACGATTCGATAGCGAAGATTCAATTTCTGATAAGTTATCTCTGTACGTAATGGAGGGGCATTAAGCAAGATGGTCGATCATCCATAAAAACGCGATTTCGATCTTTGAGCCGGCCATTAATTATCGTTTCTCGGTTGAACGGCCCGATGCAATTAAGCAGCTCGGCTCGTTTCGTTTTCATGGTTTCTCTACCCTAAATTAAACGACATTTTTCTCTTCCCGGGAGGACGGCGGAACGCGTGAAGGAAGGTTCAGGAATCGCTCTTAGGACCATAAATCAACGTTACTCGCGACGATTTCGAGACACTCTTTGAATATTTGATTGCCTGGCTCTTAACGCAGTCGCGTTCTCACGGTGAACAAAGAAAAATCGTGCAACCGGCCGAGACTGCGAGTAGATCAGAGGCAAGCTTTTTTCGACTCTACATGATTAATAGTGTTCATCGAGCACGCCTTTCCAAAGAGATGAGAGAGTAAAAGAAGCGGAGTCTGATAAATTTTCCAGTAGTTCTTCCGTGGAAGATGATTAATCAGCCTCGTCCAGGCGGCTTTTCATCAGAATAGAACGGATTCTTCGACTTCCTGCAGAGTTAGAAGGCTCATGATCGGTCCAGTTCATTCTGGATTCCAATCCGTGCAAATTGGTCGAGTCCGCGGTAATCATTTTCGATGGGAATTGGCCTCGAGTAGAGACAATCGGTCGATAATTGCTCTCCGGACACCTGTACCACCGGTTCTAGCCACTTGGATAACTTGGACCTGTGAAAAAAAGTGGATAGAAGTACCTGGTGGTGATTGGGTACGTCCACCTTCGAAATATAATTCCTTCGAATCACGTAAAATGGCAATTCTAGCCATGAGAGTCATTGGAACATTCGTTTCACTTATTCTAGAAAGATCTGATTTCTCCTTAAAAAATCGTTGGAACTCGTACAGAGTTTCATCAAAAGACCCAGTTTTCATCGTCGTTCTGTAACTATATTTGATTTTGCCTGTGGAAAAAGTTAGCAAATACACATGGTGCGTTCAGGTTAGGTCTTGAAAGACCCTGAATCGCATTTATTTCACGTAGGTCAGGCTTGATCCGACGCATCGTGATGCACGCGTAGCTGCATCAGCAATTTGCTCCATTCAGGGCACTGCTCGATATGATATCTTGTGCCTGACACCTGTGCAAATTCGCGTTGCGACTGACAATTGAGCGCCCCTCTAACGCTGAATCGCCTAATGCTGCCCTCGTGAACAGGTTAAACTCTATAATTCCGTCACTGATGCTATCCATCCTACAAATTTATTTCTCCCAGCAGAACTAAAGGTTAGAGTGATAAATTTCGCTCCTGTACCCTAGTAACGGAACGGAAAAGAATTTTTTTGTTTGGACGTAGAACAAAGGATTCGTGTGTTGGTGTTTGATCTGTGAAACTCCGACAGCCTAATTATTGAATAAACATTTCTTTTTTGGTAGGAGAATCAAAGATTAGTGTCTGTGACACTTTAGTAGCTTAGTATTGGGATAGATTCAGAGATTCAGATCTGAGGTCATTTCTGTTACACTCCTGTTGGATTATTAGAAGGAATGAGCGTGTGTGTAGTAGAAACTGTGTGTGTGCAGTCTTGTTCATCTCTAATAGATTGCGCAGAGACGTGCCTTCTTCGCGTATAAAATAAAGAAGAATTTATAATTGAAATACCATCTTTTAATTTATCACCTGTCAGAAAGTACTCTAACTCGGAGTAGGGTGGGCGTAAAATTAATTAAACGTGTCTACGTTTTTACAATGGTATACGTTACACAAGAATTATATCCGCGTTATCTGAGCGTCGTTCGCAAAAAGTGTGCTTCGAGGGTCTCGCGAAGAGTGAGGCCTCGTCGTCCTGCCGATCCCTGTCCACACCTACGTGAACAGGCCCAGGGAAAGGCCCAAAGGGGCGGAGTCACCCCCACCGAGCGCGCTGGGCCTGGCTTCAATATGTTCGCTTCACCGTCTTCGGGACGGATTTTCTCACGTACCTTAAATTCCAATAACTCCGATAGCTTAATATCGGGTTGGAAAAATTTTCTCGATAACAGTATCTTTGTTTGATTAAAATAAAATTAGACACTCCAGCGATGGATATTTCAGCGATACGAATATTTAACACCTAAGTTCTAATCGAACGAGCTTGTAAAAAAATGCACAAGCATGTGGACACCTTTTTTTTTGCGGTGGATTGATTCGATTGCCGTGGAAACGTGTCCTTTTCCGCGGAACAGCGCGCAATCTTGTCAATAATTCAGTCTACTTCCGGCGGAGCACGCGAGCCCGTCAAGTGGGCAAGAAAATTGGAGAAAGGTTAACAAGGGGTGTCATCATCCACTCCTTTCCATAAGGTCGAGTGCTCTTACAGCGTTAAGCGTCATTCTCTCGATCTCTCGATAACTGTACGACCAATCCGCAATAAATACTCGACTAGAAATATGTATAACGAATGTGATCGGAATAAAATCCATAGAAATGAGAAATTTCGCGAGGGGGGGGGGGGAAGAGGGAGAGAATTGAAAACGAGATTTGTTTAATTAATTTCCCACCATCTAGGAAATTAGGGATCTAAGGGCGAAACGAGGGTGATGGAGGAGCATGGCGTGTTTTCATGGGAGGTGCAATTTTGTTTCCAACGTTCGTGCAAGTTTGCACAAACTTCGGAAAATCCAGCGAACCGAATTCAAATTCTCCCTTCCACAGTAACCAGCCCGCCCGTTCTTAACTAACTTTTGCGTGGCACCGTCTGAATTCCAACGAGTCGTCTTGCTATAATATACTCGGCGTATCGTCGCTCAAAAAAGTTACATCCCCGAAAGCGTAACGTCTCTTTTCTGTTTTTCGCGGGAAAATTCGACAGGGTGGAAAGCGAAAGTTCCCACCCTTGACCCGACACGCCCACCGGGCCAGAATTTCCAGCGTTCCGCCATTTGCATAAATGAAAACAGACGAAAAAAGAGGAGAAAGAGATTCGTAGATGGGAGAGGCAGACGAAGCTCTCCTCTTTTTTTCTTCCATGAAAAAATAGCGGCGAATCCAGTGGCACCCGCTCTTTTGTTTACATTTTCTATTCCATATGCGAAGCTCGTTGAAGAATTCGTCGCTTGAAAAATACAAGAAGAAAGAGAAAAAAAAATGCGACAAATTCGATATTCAAACGGAATCGTCGACGAGCAACTCCTTAACGAGGTCAAACGACATGAAAGCACCCCGCGCCGCACCCGATAATTACATCAACAAGCTGTAGGATTATAATACACGCGTAAATTCCGCCGCTATTAACCGAATAATGCATCGTCCTTTGCCGGCATTAACCGAAACGAAATTATGAGGAAAGTACGACGCGGAGTAATTAGAGGCGACCGATCATTATGCTCGATGTCACTGTTTGTGTCTTCATTAGCCCCCACTGCGGTTACCATTTTTCATTCGGAATTGTAATACAACGATGTTACAACGTTACACGGTGTTTCTGGTTTAGGAGCTGGGTCACATTTTTCGCGTAATAAACGTGACCCTGATTTTGCCTCGTTATATACCAAAGACGTGCACGAATTTTTCAATTTTGTCCAGTAGATATACGGGGTGCCATCTACGTGAAGTGTCAGTTTTCTCCGAAATTATTAGCCAGATAAATAAAAAAAAAATGAAATCTAAAGCCTTCCTAAGATGCGTTTCATTTGTATGCGTTCCAAGAAATCCGTTTGGCTTTACTACATCTGTTTAGTTTTAGACCTAAACGTTTATGGTACGTGACAAAAGGCCCTTCGGTCCCAAGCAGGGTCGCAGGCAATTTTCTCAGTCCGTATACAGTGCTCTTGCTAGTGTCGTCGAGGTCACTCCGGAGATTGTTTAAAGTGCTTTATTTATAATAATACTGTTACAAAGTGACGTTGTGGTTCCTTAGATTTTTAACGTAAGACTAGACTTCCCTTTTTTTTTGTCAGACTTTACGTCTGTGGTGAGGCAGGAGGGGTGTTAGAGTTCCCTGGAGTATAGTAGCTCCTTACACTCTAAAATAAATAAAAGTTATTTAGTTACATGATTACATAGTAATAGCTGAGACTGAATAATAATTGAGTCAACAGGAAAACTTTGAAAAAACCTGTTTCG